GACAAATTCGTGTGTCCAATTCTTACTGTAATTCTGTTGCGCAAAAACTTGTGCGAACAAAAGTGCGAAAGAGATGAATTCGATGCGGTATTGTACTCGTTGTCAGCGAACAAATTGAACAAAGAAAAGTTTGTTCTCCTGCTTCACTTTTTTTTAAACGATCGGTATCCAATAGCTTCGTTTTATCTCTTTGACTTGAATTTTTTTCGGCACTAATGTAACGTAATTGGCTCGCCTTAAGTCAGAGAATTAAATTTGTGTGCACCTCTGTTAAAAGTACATACACTCTGTTTAATTGACCCTGTTATCTTCACAACCGCGACCAAAAGATTTCGAACACCCTGGATCTATTTTTCTCTTACTCGCTGGAACTTTGTTTCCTCTCGTCGCGCAAAATACCGACAATTTACCGGTTGTAACTTTTCACTGAGTGCCAAGGTCAAGCGAGAAACGTCGTTGTCAAGTAACGCCTTGACTTTCTGCCGGACTGTAGAAAGGAACTCTCTGAAGCGTGGCACCAGCAAGAGAGACACGCACATATGTGTGTGTGAGCGTGTAATTTACGTACGTACGCGCGTGTGTTCCTCGTTGCTTCTAGGAAGCGCAGAACTCGTATGCGACTCGTATACGCATCCGTCGATCTGTTTGACGGAAAACCGGAGGAAAACAGCATCTCGTCTCTACTTATGAGAGTTGTTTACGCTGTAGATTTGTTTACGATTTGTTTACGAGACAAAATTCCGTAAAAGCGCGAACATGAATGTTTTTCATTAATTATTGAACTGCGTTATTTTCCGAACACGGCTGTCGGATCATTCGCGGCTGATCATGCGGCGGAGGAAATACACATCGGTTGTTCTGCACGCGTCCATTACGTAAAGCGACCAAGTGGTGGCCGCGTGTGTCACCTTGTCCGCGTGACGAAGCCTCAACCCACGCACGGTACCGCTACGCAAACGCTATACGCAGATACTGCGGTACGCGCGCGTTCATGTGTGCGAATATCGCACCTTTTTTCAATGTTCCTAATTTTTTTTTTTTTTTTTTTTTTTTTTTTTTTTTTTTTTTACTTTTTTGCTTTTGCGTGTGTGTGTAAGAACAATGTCAATTTTTATTTTATTTTTATCTGCATTGCAAACGAGATATTAAAAACAAATTGTACCAGCAAATATCAAGCCTCCGAAAAATTTTATATAAAATTATTATATTTGTAATAATATAATAATTTAATATAATAATTAATATATAATGTGTATATATTTCTGTTATATTCTTTTTATTCCCGCGGCGGCACTAAGTCTCGATTTGTTTTCTCGTTTTCTTGAAATTTTTTCTCGTATACATAACTCCGTCGAAAATAAAATATATAAATTAATACAAAGTTACTTTTTTAGTATAAAAAATACAATATAAATCAACACCCCCCCCCCCCCCCACAAAACCGTCGCGCGAGAGGATTCGCGGCGCGCGTGTAACCAAGCCTCTGCCGGAGAGGAGTTCGCGACCAGATTCAGTCGAGATCCTGTTGCGAGTTTCTCGTTGTTTGCGGGCGCTCGATGTTACATCGTCGACCGTACGTTGTATGTGGTAATGTCTGGTCGCGATCTGAACGAAACCGTGGCTTAGTCCGACCTACTTACGGTCGACCGCTCCCCTGCGCGAGAGAGTCCTTTTTTTCTCAGATTTTTCCTTTCCTTTCGACTGAGCGCCGGCACGACGCGCTGTTTGTAACACACACACACGCCGCGAGTTTGCATACCGGGGGAACAATGTATCGCACGATGAAGTAATCGACGCGCGTTCTCCGCGCCAACGTGTGCATATGTCCGCGGAACATATGCACGGGATTTACGGGTTGTGTCGTAAACGTCACCGGGACGGGATGTTTTATCGCCGTTCTTGAGAAAAACGCGCGCCGCGTTTAAATCTATATATCGATAGAGTCGGAGAGTCGATTGACGTATCTCGTTGTCCACACCCCGGCGTTCAACTACGTGATATTCTCATTTAGCGCAATTCTCACGTTTATAGGCGCGCGTTCAACACGACGACGCCGTTCAAAACGGTATAGAGTTCAGGGATTAGACGTGGTGGTTTAAATGGGAACTTTGAAGATTGTGTTTGTCTCGAACTACCTGCGACTTTCGCTCTTTCGAGAAAATATTTCAGAAAATCTCAGAAAATATTTCGTTGACTATATTCGCTGACTATTCGTTGAGGTTGAGGTTACTACAATAATGTAGCGAACCTAAACATACTTAGCACAGAAATGATCGAAAAAACATCGATTATTCGACCAATGACTCGCATGTCGAGTCGAACAAGCGTATATATAATATACGCGCGTTCTTCGCCCGGCAGTTTCCTTGTTTGTACAAAAATTGTTGTTGAGGAGATTCGCTCGTTGCGTCGAGCATTTTGAATCTTCTCGATTTTATTTCAGACACATTGTTTCGTAAGATGAACCGTTTTCTCCGCTTTCGGGTCGCGGTCGGTTTTCTTTGAAGAAAACTGTGAAAAAACGTTTTTTGAAAACTTACGGATCCCGTTTCGTGCGTGTTATTTTATATCTCGCATCTTAGCGATGAAAAATCCACTTTGTTTCGAAGTACGACGAAAAATGTTTTCGCGTTTTTTCATTCATTGAATTAATTTCGATAAAATTGATTGTTTTTATAGTAAATAGCCCGCGTCGAATATTTATTGGAATTTTCTCACCCGCTTTCCGCTCGTGATTGATCTCTCCTTCTCGTCTTCTGGCTGCTCGCCGCGAACAAGTCCGTTCCTCTCGATTCCAACTCGATGTACCGGTTCTTTCATTTTATTTCTTCTCGGTCTCTCTCTCTTTCTCTCAGTTTGAAGAAATCAGACGGAGAGAAAAACAAGCGAAAGGAAAAATAAGAAAGAGAGAGAGACAGAGCGGACGAACGCAGAGGGAACGAGTCAAGAGAAGAGAACCAGCCGGACAACAAGCGAGAGGGAGAAAAAGGAAAGAAAGAGAAAGAGAGAGAGAGAGAGAGAGAGTCGAAGATAGAGGCAGAGGCGTGCATCGGTACCTCGGTCACGGTGCGATCGCGCAAGTATTTATAGCGCGGCCGAACCTGTTAGGGGGATTTGGTTAGAGGAAACTCCATGCGCGCACGCGGACGAGAGACGCGGTTTTCTCTCCGCCCGTATTACCGAAGGTTGCCCAACCAACGGAACACTCATTTTTGGGGACCGTGTGGCGGGTTACCTTCGGGTTATATCTCTCTGGGTTCTCTGATGCAAGCGATTGCGTAAAGAAGTCGTTAGACGTCTCGTCTAATTCCGTAGCTTCGAGGTCGGAATCAAAAGTCTCAGAAAGACGAAGGAAATTCGAAATCCCATGTCGTAACACATAAAATGAAGAATTTTTTATACATTCTTTATTCGTGCGCGATAGAGCACGAGTAAAATTGATTTCAACAGAATTTTTTGAGTTGACGCAAGAATCGTAGTGGGGGGGAGTTGATAAGTATCCGAAATAGCGACGGTGGCATCACACATTGCGCTATTGCCGTTATTGGCAAGTTACATCTTTTGAAAGAATGAATGTCAAATGTTGAGTCATTATCGCACGTAGCGCTTGTGCGCGATACAACAGCATGATGTGATATTATATTGTCGCTATAAATGCGTCTCGTTTCGGATACTTATCAATCGTTCTCTTGTATATTTTTATTACACAATACACGTATATTAATTATATTATTATATTTTATTATATTTATATTATTATATTTTTGTTGATTAATTATATCTTAAATTTATTATATTTTATTATTTTGTTTATTTTTTGAATATTTACAATATATCAATTATTTGGTAATAACGGGAGGTATAAATCTGTCGCAAGAGTTGTTTTTTTTTTTATATCGCGGTAGACAGAAAAAAAAAATTTTCGTTAACGAGGAGAGACGTGAAATAACGTGCGGCGACACACGAGTGACTTCAATGCGCGGTCGCTTCGAGAGAGAGACACGTGAGCGGGGTGAGGACCGTAAACCGTTTTTGTATGGCTTGCCGTTCTTTAATTAAAAACGGTTACCACGGTGAATGCAAGTATATATGTACACGTAATATACACACGTTATATACACACGCGCATTATGTGGTTGCGTGAGTGTGTGCGCTTGCGAGCATCGCGAGGGCGCGCGTTGAAAATTGCCGGGCGAGGAGAAGCCGGCGATCACGTTCGCGCGCGAAGGACGTGCGAGCGCAGAAACTGTAGCCCGGCATACGGTACCTGCGAATCTTCAAGGTTGCTCGTAAATTCAGACAGCGGGCCACAACCGCCGCCACCGCCGTCGACGCCGCCGCCGCGGTTATGACTCTATGTGTGTCTCGTCGCGCATTACGTATGCCTTACGCGCGAGGTCTCCTGTCGTTCCACCTATATTGAGATTCAATTCTTGTCGTCTTTGAGCGCGAACACTGCCGCGAATACGCGTCGACGGCATAATATCGCGCGAATCTCGGAAAAAAAAAAGGAGGAAGTATGTTCATTTCAACGCACCTTGAAGCTGATTGACAATTGGTCGCCTTATACTGTTGGTTGTTTCCTCCACTTGCCGATTTCTACTCTATAACAGAAAAAAAAAGACGATATATTTTTTTATAATAATAGCAATAACAATTCATTTCTACACCGGCCGCGAAGACGTGAAAATATTTTACAAAAAATTGACTTTTTTAAATATAAAACACTCACGCAATAAGATGGAAAAATTCTCAGCCTCTCTAAAATGAAACTTTTCTATCATTTTTCTTATGCGATCTCTTTCTCTCTTTATGTTGTTTTAAAACAAACGCCAAGAATCAAATATTTTACGCAAACAAACAAGTTACAACAATAAACGATTGAACGATTGAGTTTTAGAGAATGAAGGGCAGAGTTTCTCGGTCGAGACTGAATCAAGAAAGAACGACGGGGATTCGCAACACAGTGTGTCAAAAAGTCTTGCTCTTTTCTTCGACAGATCGCGACAAGACCGATGACGATCGCGCGACCACCCCGGAATCGTTACGCAGCACCAGTCCGGCGCCGTCGCCGCCGCTCCCGCAACCGGCGAGCAGCGTCGCGAGTCCGCCACCCAGACGATTCATCTCCAGCATCCTCGGCGGCGATGTGCCGTACGGTAGCAGACGTCACGTGCTCACCCGGGCGGAGCGGAAGGAGTACAGCAGCCCGCCGATAGCCACGGACGAGCCCTCTCAGTTCCTGACGAAGTCGGAGAGGATCGCGCTGCCGAGACCGCAGACGCCGCCGAAGAAACCGCACGTCGAGCCGCCCACCAGGGCCTCGGTTATCCAGAGGGTGCCGCCCCAGGGCCAGTCCAGGAAAGAGAAGAACAAGATCGAGATCGAGAGGATCGACGCGATACAGACTCACGAACCGGAACAGGTAAAACCGATCGATTATTGCAAATCAATCGAGCGAGCAAAAAGATGGGCACTTCTCGACGACGCGCAAATTCATCAAAATTGTACATGAAGTACGTTCGACGCGTCGTCGTCTCTCACATATATTTGAAAACACCGTACATTTATCTATGTGTTCGCACGCGTGTCGATAAATATGCGAAAGTAAACAGACACAAGGAATACGCGCGTACGTTACGTTACGCGACCGTGTTCCGCGCGTTTTCGATCACATATAATCGCGTCTCGATCTTCTCACATCCTCGTTTGGTTTCAACTCTACACGAGACGAGAAACGTCCGGTGTAGAGTGTCTCGCGACACTGTTTGTCGGACGACGAAGATTTTTGATTGTTTTTTTTTTTTTGTTTTTTCTAAATAAAAATATATACATGATTATCATTTAAGACGATTTTCAGACAGAAGAGGGAGCGTAGGATCCTGTTATTAAGCTTAATGCGGTCACGCTTCGTTAACCTCGACTCTCGCAATTCTCACATACATCTCATGCATTATGCATATAGCGACGGATCAGATAAAGAAGGGCAAGGAAAATATTCCACGGCACTGCGCATAGTAACATCAGCTTTCTCAAGCTCGCTGCTGAAACTCGCATGCTAACATTTTTTTTCGGGGGTTGTTCCGGAGATTGTGTGTGTCGCGTTCTAACACATCGCCGCACGCGCGTCTTCGTGAAAATCCACGTCTTCGTGGATGGGAAATGAAAAAGAGACAAGCGCCGAGTTGAAACTTTCTATCGGAAACGCATAGTATGTAGTCTCTCGAGCTTCTCGATAAAGCTTTTAGGGGTTCTCGATCACGGTCGTTGATAAATCGTCGTTCGATGCATCAACGTCGAGAAGTGCCTATCTGGTAAAATAGAGATAAAAAAGAGTTGTAGGTTATAAAACGCTCGAGGAGAAAAAGCGGGTCCGCGGAGACGGACGGACGGGAGGGAGAAGAAGAAATCTATAATCCTCAAAGCGATGAGACAGCGAGCCCGACTGGAAACAGCGGGATGAAAAAAAAAAAAAGAACGTAATAATCTCGCTGACATGCAGCACAAAGGAAGAAATCAACGAAATGAGACAGATAAAAAAAAAAAAAACATCAACTAATTGATTGCGAATTGTTAGATTTTGAGCACGTGTGACGCGTTATACTGTTACTCAACATAATTCAGTTACTGTGTGTTGTTGTATTATTTTAATTATCGTTATACCGCTTTTGTATCATCATCTGCTGCTGTTTGCCTTCTTGCCTTCGTCGCTTTTACCGCTTTTCTTATTTCGAGACGCTACTCAACAATCGCACAAATTCTATTCTGTCGCTTCGTTTTCATCTGTGCGCGAATAATCTTTCTCTCTTTCTCTCTCTCTCTTTCTCTAAAATAATCAAAACTATTTCTTCATCTTTTTAGCAATTAACACATCTTCACCTCGTACTTGACATGTTTTCGGAAGTTATGGGAGTTTGGAAAAAAAACATCTTACTTACACAACTTTGCATGGTTTTGGCGAGTGCGGACGTGGGAAACAAATAGAGCGGGGAAAAAGTTGAGCGAGAAAGAGCGTAGGTTGAGAAATCGTCTCTCTTGACGAGTTTGTCTCGCGCGAAAGATAAAATAATAATCTCGCCTTGATGCGACGACAGAAGCGAGGATAATCATCAGACGAGAATTCCGCGATTTTTTCAGGAACAGCCCATAGATTACGCGGTACCGAAACGGAAGGAGGAGGACGATGAGAAATGTCGCGAGGGAGCGGTGGCGTCGCGCGCTTCCGGGAATTCGATCGCGAGATCGCTGCTGGCCGTGAAGCTGTCCGGCTCGCACGTGGTGCAGGCGGCAGCGGGTCACGGCAGATCATCGAATTCGGGAGGAAACGGCTCCTCCGGCGGGAGCGGCGGCGGCAGCGGCGGCACTTCCGGTAGCTCCTCACCCTCGAACAACAACAGCGGCACCATGATCGGCGGTGGTTGCAGCAACGGTGCGATGATCGGTGGATGTGGTGGCGGAGGAGGAGGCGGCGGTAGCGGCGGTACCGTCGGTGGCGGTGCGGGCGCGGGGGGCATGCCCCCCGGAGGCAACGGGGGTCGCGGCAACTACGGTCCGAGCTCGCCGCCAACGGGATCCCTGCCGCCGTTCTACGAGTCGCTCAAGGGTGGCAACAATCTCGCCAACTTCGCCAATCAGTACAACACCGCGCAAGGTACGTTCGAAATTGCTTTCTTCTGTCCGATTACCGGGACACATTGGGACACTTTGTTTTATTTATTATTATCAATTAATTCTTAAAGCAAATTTTTCTGTAGGAAACGCGTATCTCACACCATTGACGGCGGTCGGGATCGACTGCGACACCGGTCAGCAGGATAGCTCGCAGCACGCGCAGTACAACGCGCAGGAAGGCAAACAATATTCGCTGCTACAGAATGTCTGCGCGAACGTGTGCGCGTCTTACGGGCTGACGTTCAAAGAGGAAGAAGAAGAGCTCGGTGCCTACAAGATACAAGCGAACGACCTGTTGTCCGGCCAGTACGGCGCTTACGACGTCACCGACACGGGAATGATGGTGGACATGGTGACCGGTACCGTCGTCGATCCGTTGCAGTTCACCGCCGCAACTCTGACCTTCAACTCGCCGTCCGATCACACCGCGCTACTTGAGAGCCTGAGCGACGCCGCCGATCTCCTGCTGCCCAGATTGCAGACCGAGGACGGCGGTAGCGATCTTCTCGACGAGTCGCTGCACTCACCCGCGTCGACCGGCAGCAGCGGAATCGGTCAGGACTCCGGTCAGATGACCACTCCCGTCGAGCCCAGCGTCGATCCTTTCCCCGAGCACAGCATGGCCCTAACCAGAGGCTTCGACACGAGGTGAGTGAACCGGCGTCGTGAGAACTATCGCGCTCGGCGATAGTCGCGTCACGCCGACCGTGAGTTTTGATCGAAAAAAAAAAAAAAAGAAAACATGCGCGCACCGATCTATACGCGATTGTTCGCATCGCCTTTCTCTCTAGACACTACACAACTCCGCAACACTTCAACACGTCCAAGCTCGCGGGATTGAGCTACACAGCCGCCGGCGAGTCGAGCTATCAGCCGTTGTCGAAGGAACGTCCGGAACTCGCTTTGCACGTAAATCAGAATCACCCGCATCAACAGGATCAGCAGCAGTTGCAGATCCAGGTGCAGCTGCAGCAGCAGAAGCAACCTTCCACGTCGCCGCAACAACAGCAGCAGCAGCAGCAACAACAACAACAGCAGCAGCAGCAGCAGCAGCAGCAGCATCAGGGCCTCCTCAGCCCTGGATTGAGTTTCGCTGGTAATGGTGAGTCGTTGTGACGATGTGCTTTTCATAGTTCACGCACAGTGAGTGACCTTACACCGGTTTAGATTTGAGATCAATTGCGTTAACGGGATATTATCAAAGGTTTAGAATTGGACTCCGGCAGCAGCGTGGGCGGAAGTCTACCGAGCCCGGGCACCGCCAGTTGTTCTCTAGACGGTACTTCTGCCAATACTTCGCCGTCGTGCGCGCTAGCGGAGCACGCTCACAGCCCGGTTGTGTCGCCCAGCACAGTTGCAGCCCAAACCACCGGATCGGTAGGCGAACCGCCGCTCTCGCAACGGGTCGGTGTACTTCAACAAAGGGTAAGCGACCCAAATTGATCCAGGCAAAGGCATATCTTTTCGTTTCGCAATATTAAATCACGCGGAAGCGTGTAATTTACCAGGAGAAGCGGGATCGACTCGGTCCTCATCTTCGCGACTTGGCTCGCGACTTGATTCCTCACGATATATTCGAAGCGCGAATATCTTTCGACGCGTCCGAATATATCCCGGGGTGCGCGTTATGCAATGTCCATCAATTTGAGTGCTTCATCCGAAGTGTTGTTGATCAAAACCGTACCGGGAAAAAAAAAAAACAAACACTCGAATTAACGCGATTTGTTGTCGGCTTGCAGTTGGGTTTACCGAGCGACTGTCAGATAGAATTTGTAAACGGTGGTCACGGCATAAAGAATCCTCTGGCGATCGAGGGTCAAAGACAGGCGGCGGCCAATCGTGACGAAGAGAGAGCAAATCGAACTCCACCTGGCAAGGTACGGCTGCGTGTAAAAAACCGTCGTCATTATTGAGAATATAACCCGGTGAATACGCAACATGAGTTATTGTCGTATCAAACCGTGAAGATGATCACCGTGAAATTAAGTCGTTAAAGTCCATTAAATCGGTATGTCATTTGTATGTTTGCTCAATAGGACGACGATCCCAATCGTTTCACCTGCCGCGTGTGCAGCAAAAACTTCAGCCTGCAGCGACTTCTCAATCGCCACATGAAGTGTCACAGCGACGTGAAGCGTTACCTCTGCACGTTCTGCGGCAAGGGCTTCAACGACACGTTCGATCTGAAAAGGCACACGCGAACGCACACGGGAGTGCGGCCGTACAAGTGTTTCCTCTGCGAGAAGAGTTTCACGCAGAGGTGCTCCCTGGAGAGTCACGGTCAAAAAGTTCACGGCGTTCAGCATCAGTACGCGTACAAGGAGCGGCGTGCCAAGGTAAAGTATCTTTTTTTTTTTGACGTAGCGATAAGATGAATATCCCCGGACGCGTGTATCGGTAGCCCGCCGCCCGCCGCTTTATTAAAGAAATAATGATTAAATATGTAACTATTAACATTTTTCAATATTTTAAATATTTTTTGTAGACACTACTAATATTATTTACTTATTTATAAATTGTTATAATTATTTCTTTAATAAATGTCCGACCAGGTACTTGTTCTATGATTGGGACATTTACCTTATCCCGAAACAAAGAAAACGAGTTGAGTGACATTATTCCTCTCTTTGATCGATCCGACAGATGTACGTTTGCGAGGAATGCGGACACACCACGCACGAGCCGGAGGTGCACTATCTTCACCTGAAGGAGCAACATCCTTACAGCCCGGCGCTGCTCAAGTTCTACGACAAGCGGCACTTCAAGTTCACTAACAGCAACTTCGCCAATATGTTGCTCCAGGTGGGCACAGACTCCGCGTAGACACACACAGATAGTAAAAAAAAAAAAAAAAAAAATCTTGAAACAAAAAAAAAAGCGTGTTAGAAATAGAAGATTGCACGTTGAATTAATCAACGGTCTGATGTGTAGGGAGGCTTCAATACTCGAACGAACAAAACAAAATACACAGCGCGGTATGCAAGAACATGAAAATTGTTCTTGTTGATGTAACTCTTCAGGGTGGCCTGTTGCAACGAGGGGACTCGCGGAATACGGACAGCTGCGGCTTCGCGGAGCGACGGGAGATCGCGTCGAAGAGCACCGAGGCGCCGCATCAGCAGACTACGACCAGCTTCTGAATCCGAGTTCGAATACGAGAGATAGAGAGAGAGAGAGAGAGAGAGAGAGAGAGAAAACAAAAGAGAGAAAGAAAAAGAGAGTGAGACCGATCAGTTCTCCGACGACGAGAGGACGGGCCGGAGTCGCGCGAAAAGTACCTGGCCAGAAGGTGGCTCCTACGATTCACTGGAAACGATCATCGAAGTTGCCCGGACGGCAGAGGATCGACTTTAGCAGATCTGTAACCGATTCGATTCTCGCCGAACCTTTAAAGAGGAAGAGGAGCGAAAAAACGAAGAGAGTAAGAAAAAATTCTTGCACGCAGCTAGAACGAAGTATTATTCTCTTCTTTTCCAGTGGTTTTTTTTTTTTAAAGACAATATTGTCGTTATGTAAAAGACAGATAAAGTGTTTAAGAAATCGGAGCGCGCAAACGTAGCATTAAGCCACAGCGATTGACGATATAAGTTTCTCGACGGATGTTACATTTATTTTTATTTTTATTTTTATTTTTATTTTTTTTTTTAGACTTTAGAGCGCGACGACGACAATAAATCGTCGAATGATTAAAACTCTCTCACTCCTGCGTCTCGCGAGCAAGTAATTTCAGAACGTGTACCTGTTGCGGGTTTCTCTAACGTCCTGAATTTGTTGTAGATGTTTGTAGAGAACGTTTGTTTTTCTTGTCCAGTTACGTATATATAACTTTAATTTTTTAATAATCGATTTAACTTATAAGAGAAGATCCCGTCGCGACTGAATGAAGAGATTGTAGAAAAGAGGATACGTCTCTCGTATAGGTGACACATGTATAAAAAAAACGTTATTTCACTCGCACACACACATTCTTGCGCGCGCACAACATACACACATTACACACGCACACATACATACACACACATTATTTCGCACATCATCATCGCGCATATAATTTTTTTTTTTTTTTTTTTTTTTTTTTTTTTTCCAATAGAAAATATAATATTTTGGGGCACTATGTATCGAGCAGACACACCCAAAGACTCGGATAGAACGTTTCAGGAATGCCGATCATCCTCGGCGACGAGCCGGGGATAAGGAAAAGAGTGCGATTTATACGGGAAGACTGTTTTTTTTTTTTTTCTCAGAGATTTACGGCGAGTTACGTTGTTTTTCGACTCGATGGGGGGGAGAACGTGGAAAATGTTGACGTCGCGATCGCGCCCACGCGTTTCCGCGATCGCGATCTCTCCGTCACGGAATTTTCCGTTTTTTTTTATTTTTTTTTTTATTTTTTTTTTTATTTTTTTTTTATCTTCGATCGTTAGATCATCTCGGAATCGAAGATATTCGCGCTGCTCGAGCGCCGCGGAACGGGGCGAGAGATCACGAGGGGGGAGGGGGGAGGAAAGAAGGTGACTTTGCACCGTACCATTGTATAGAAATACGAGACCTGTGTATCGGCGTTCGGCGAACTAATCGCGTCGGAAATAATTAAAATTGACTTGCTTTTATTTCTCTCAATGATATAAACGACGATCTTTTTTTTATTATCGGGAGTCAAAATTATCGAACAGCCTCGAAGAAAGAGAGACGCTCGCTGTGTCTCTCTCTGTAATCATCGCTCTTTTATAATCGCGTTTATCGAAATGAAATACGCGATAATATAACCGTGCACTTAAAACAAACAAAAAACAAATAAAGAGCTTCAATTTTTAAACTATCTTTCGCGCATTATTTTTCTAAATGCCGATATCGCACGTACATATATATATATACACACATATATATATTACATAGATGTATCTTATAGTTAAGTGTTTAACCGAAACGTACTTTAACGGATAATCTGTGATATGATAAGATTTAAAAAAAGAGAGACAGTTTTTTTTCATTATGGCTCCTCCGCGCATCACCGGGATTCTCACTTTTTCCGCTGTTGTTGCACCACACAACGGGTTTTCTTCACGGGGAAAGGGACACGGGGAGGAAGAAAAAGGAGGAGGGGCGCGCACACTCTCTGTAATCGCATCATCCACGCGCGCGCGCGCGCACACACACATACACACACACATACAAACACACGTACATCCATACATACGATACACAAAAACGGGATTTCGTGCAATTCTAAGGTGGCAGAAACCTTTCTTCAAATCGGGCGTGTAACACAAGCGATATATATTTGTGCACGTAAGCGATATATATATACATATATATATATATACATATATCGCGCTCGATTTCCCTTCCACAAATTTAATCGCGGAGACGAGTCGTGTCGTGTATTATTTCGCTCGCGTCGTCCCGGGAAGAGAAGAGATCACCGGGTCCGCGATTCTTCCGCGAGACTTCTTTGAGTTCGCTCAAACACACGCACACACACAACAACATGGATCGAACGGCGTGAGCGGCTAATCGGGAAGCGATCAACAACAACAACCCTTTGAAACGCGAGGGGACTTATACTACGTAACGCACGCGCAGCGTGTCTTCTTCTTTTACGCGACAGTTTTTCTTCAGAGACTTGCACTCTCTTCTCCTCACAAACGTCGAAAAACACTACTCCGGGTTGTCTTTTTTTATTCTTATTTCTTTCCTGTATTTATTTGTACCATAAATTATTTTACGTTCTTAGTGGTTGCGAACGATGTACATATGTATATATGCGTAGCACCCCGATACGCGCGCGCTTTGGAAAGGGTTAAGAGAGGGGGGAGAGAGCACGTCCTTGAGCCGGACTCTCGAAGTCTTTTAATTATCGGGCGAGCGCGAAGCTGGAAACAAAAAAAAAAAAAAAGAGCGTTTCTCGTATACGATAAATATATGTTCCGTTTGGAGAAGAAAAAAAAACAATTAATTAGACGAAGCATAGAGATACCAATCATTAACTAAACATTATTCTCAGAACTTGTGCAGAAATATGCGAAGGTTAATGCGCGCGTATCCATTATGCATAAAAAAAAAAAAAAATATTGTAATATATATATATTTAGAATATTTTTTTTGATAATTTTTCTTTTATAAAATATCGCACAAAATTTAAATTGCAAAACACTTGCGCGTGTTTCGCACGTATTTAAATTCTATTATTTTTAACATAAATTTTCAAAATTACCGTCGTGTCGACGCGATTTTTATAAATTTTTCTAAATCTTGTCATTTTTCGATCCGTCATTCATTGAATGTTCGACAAACCGTTCAGATCTCTTGAGCTTAAAGATATTCGAACAGTTCGAAAAAACACACATACACACACACAGTGTAAATTGTCATGTCACATTCAAACCAACGTCCAATTTGAATTGAGCGAGAAAAGAAAATGTAACTTAACCCTTTCTATTTTCTGTTTCTCCACAAGTTCTTCGAACGATCGAATCTTTAGAGCGAATCTCATCAATTGATTCAACGGTTTGCTGATGCAAGCGACGGGTTGACGTTTAAACTGCTCCATGTGAAACATGGAAACGTTCAAACGTTTTCTCCGCCTCGAACTGCTCGCGTTCTAGTCCAGTTAGTACAATTTGTTTTTATTAGAGTTTGTTTTGTTTTGTTTTTTTTTTTTTCCTATTGTTTTTTTCCATCTCGGTCGTCTCTCTTGATTTCCGACGAGGAGCACTCGCCCGATGATTTAACGCCCGAGAGCGCTCGATCTTGTAATCTGTAAATATCACGCATCTATAGAGGAAAGAGATTACTGATATTTAAATTCTTCAATACGTATATATATGTACCAATTCGTACTTAATTTCCTTTAGGCTCGTTAGTCGTTCAATCGGCACCCGAGCGGCATCCAACAAGATGCCCCCGCCGATCAAGATGCTCATCTGCGCGTGTTGTAAATATAAAAAATTTCGTTTTTGTTGTTGCGGCGAAAAAAAAAAAAACAACGGGTACTGGTTTACTTCGCAATTGTCAGTATATCTCGCTTGCTACACAATATACAAATGATTTTAAACAAATAATGTTATGTACAGCGTACCGGAATCGAAGTGGTGGGTCTCTCTTCCGTACGTTTGCTCTACGTTTTTTTTTTTTTTTAGAACTACGAAGAGAAGAGCATTCCACACGCGGATGCGCGGTAATGTTACTTTCTCTCTCGCGCGTTTTGTCAATCGAGTTTTGCATTGTTTTCAATCACATCGCCGCCGCTGTTTTAGCGCACACACACACGTTTTAACATATTATATAATATGTATCCGTAAAGCAAGCAAAAGCGCGCGCGCACGCGCGCGATAAAAGCTTCGTATTATTTTAATTTTATTTAATTTACGTTCAGTATTTTTGCGAAAAAAAAAGGAGCACTCGGGGCAGATCTGTCGATTTCAAGAGATTTTCGAAGTACCGCATACTCTCCTTTTTTTTAATTAATTAACTAATTGTTGTTAATTTCTAGCGCGAATTAAAACACGCATTTAAGGACAAAAAACAAAAAAACAAAAACTTCCTGAAGCGTTCGACGCGCACTTCGCATTCCGCGCGACACACTTTCAACAATTTGTCATTATTTCTATTATTATATCATCAATATTATGTTATCCTTATATTATATATATATATATTATATTATCAATATATTATATTAATATTATTATTATTATTATTATATTAAAGGATAATATAATTGCGTAGTGCTTATCTTATTATTTTAATATTATATTATAGATAATCTTTGCATATAGGATATACATGTATTCCTATATACACACACATATATATATAATATTTATCGAAGTTTTTGTCCGATTGCAAAACAACAAAGCGATTTTCTTTTTGTAGAGAGATTGAGAGAGAGAATTTTTTACGGGTAGAACATTTGTAGTTGTGGCATAGTTGCGCAATTTGTGTGTTCAACCCGCGAAGATAAAACTATTTTATCCGGTTGATCGTTATCGTCTCACGCGCGATATTTGTTTTTTTTATTCTTTCGGTGTGGCGAGATTTTTGTTTCTTTAAAAAAAAAAAAAAGTTCTCCAAAAAAAGAAAGAATAACCGACGGTATTTGATGCGGGAATGGGAACGAGACAATTCCGCGTGCGAAACCAGATGGAATATTTTTATCTTCTTCGGAGCGAGAGCAAAATTGTACACACTATGGGGCATGTTATTAAAGTATGATTGCAAGTCGAGCACGTGACCGTACGCGTGAATATTATTCGTATTTTTTAATATATGCATGTGTGTGTGTGTGTGTGTATGAGCGTGTGAGTGGTTTGGCTTCTAGCTGCACTTTCGACATTTATAAACAACGACGAAACATTCGAGGAGAGACTGTGAAGGGAGAGCGAATGTGGCGAGTGCAGCTTGGAAAAATGAACGGACTGTTGTTCGGCATTAATGCCATGCGTGATTGTTTGTCTCGCGAGCATGTAAATTCATTGCATTATTATTGACAGAATGACTGCGCTGTTCCGGACATTGGTGTCTACTTGCTAGCAATCGTTTATTAATTTGTAGCTAACGGTAAACAAAAAAAAAAAAAACGTGGTTACGCGCTCTTATATGTGTTTGTGAGAGAGATAATAAAAATTACACACATAGAGTATATGTAAACTTAAATAACTTTATTTATTCGTTTTTTTTTTCAGATTCTGTTTGTTTGTTTGTTTTTTTTACATCAACTTTTTCACAAAAAAACATCCGTTTCACGGTGTGTGTTTGCACCGTACGTCTTATTCTCTATATCTCTCTTGTAACGTACGTATCTTTAATGGAAGTTTGTTTTTATTATACGATCCTACAAAGAGGCAATAAGACTGTTCGACGATGAGGTTCGCAATCGATTTTTTTTTCCCGAGAAAAAAATCGCATCCCTTTTGCGGTCTGTTGCAACGCTGCAATGTCAAAATGATAAGAGAGTGCTACGGCTACGGCTTAAACTACTACTCCAACATGCGTCTTATCTGCAACAGAGAATGATGATGCCGGTGATGATTCCTCGATATGTGGGAACGGCGGGAAGCGCAGTGGTTGTATAGGTGCGCACGCGTTGGCTCGGAAGTTTGTTTTTTTATTTTTTTTTGGTTTTTTTTATGTTTTTTCGAGGCGAGATCGCTTCGCGATCTCTGCCCGTGTGCAGCTCCGAGACAGAGTGTGGAGGTGTTTGTTTTTTTTTTCGCCGTATTTTTGGCGGAATTAAGACGAGAGAGATTTTCGTCGATCGAAATGCGTTGTGCTTCGATACATACTTCGTTAACGCACACACTTTGATTTACTCACTGCTGATCACGGAGTTGAACATGTATTTGGGTTTGGCGCCGATCACTCTCGGTGGAGATCTATAATCCGGTCTGGGTTGATTCTCTTCGCTAAGTCGTTTGACCTAGAAACGGAAGTTGTGTCAATCACTTGATGCGATTGCGCACAGAAAATTTGTTACACGCATGAATTAGCAAGGCGTGTTCGATTTTATTTTATTTTTTTCCATCGCGTTTTCTCGCATATTAACCACTCGCTTGCTAACTCTCTTACGTCGCAATATATTTTTGAAACCCTCTTATAACGTACTGCTACCTTTTCAGTCAAGAAAGCCGTGAAAATTCACAATTTACGAGTGACTCCGCGCCAAATTCTACGATGCGTGCAAAACTTGGTTACATATCGCTTTACGTGGTTTCGGCACAACGTTGTTTTGCTTCCTCGTCGTTTTCTCTGCGTAGCGTTAGAACTCGTGGCGAGACAAGCGTCAACTTTTCCACGCATAATTCTCACCTGTTCGTCGATCGCCGCGAATTGCCACTTCCAGGAAGCGTTGTAGAGGAAGGGACGATGATCGAATCGATTATCGTCGGGGCTGTAGGTTTCCGCGTGGCAGGATGGCGTTAGAACCGTCATTTTGTGACGATTCACAGCGTAACACCGATAGAAATATTTTACCTTATCGGCAACCTGAAATAAAAGATGGTTTTATTTTTTTGCAAATTTACTTCGCGAGTAATTGAACCAAGTGTTTGCTTGCGGAGCGCGCGGATTCGTACTTCTTTCGGGGTGCAGTGATTCCACACGTGTACAAGTCTGCAGAACATTGAAAAAGGCCCGGCGCAGCTCTGTTTCCTCAGCCGTCCGAAGACCGACAGCTCGTTATACGTCATGCCCATGTCTACTTCGTCCATTTGCGCGAGCTGTCCCGCCTGCAGTGGCTCCAGTTCCGCGGTGGGTGGCGCTTCAAGAATGCTATCCAGTGCGGATATACCTTGCTTGCGTCTGGAATTGAAAATGATTGTTATGAATTCTGTGTTGCAACTGACGTCGCAAGAGGATTGTACATTTCACAATCGATACAAATCGCGTACCTGAAATATCGCAGAAACTTTTTTAGATCGTTCTTCGCGATGCCACCAATAGGGTTAATGTCGGCGCTGCTGCAGTCGTATTTGGTGAGATAACCTCGCAAGGCCTCGTCGACGTTACCGCTGCCCAACACTAACAGACCACCTGGACGACCTCTCACCCACAACATCAATTGAGCAAATAAATAAGCGACCACCATTCGTAACCGGGCCTGGAGGAAGAGCAACGTCAAAAAAAACAACAGAATCGTAATTTTACAATCGAGATAATCGTCGAAGGTAGAACGCGCGCGCGTACCTGTACGTTCTGCAGGGCCAGGTTTTCCCGAGGTGAACCCCCCTGCACTCTGAATCTCGGTGTCAACTTGGTGACCTGCTGGAAAATTCCTAAGATCGCGGATATCGCGGTGTCTATGACAATACCGTGATGATACGAGCCTATTTGACTCGCCAGTTCGGCCGCTCGGTTCTTCGTTTCCGACGACGAGTTCTCCGTTCCCATGTAGCACGTGACCAGAATGTTGTTGCACAATTCGCGCGGATCGGTCGGCACGTACTCGCAATCGCCAACTATTCTCCTAACGTCGGCCAACACCTGCGTGTCTGTGAACGCGCAGGATAAATAATGTGATCTTTGAGAAACACAAACATCGCGCGACGAAAAATGTCTTTACCTCCTTTGTTGACCGCTTCGACAATCATCACACACATGGAATACACTATGCACGCTGAAGACGACGAGTCGACGCCACCGCTCAATGGTAGGAAAAATCCTCCTTGACAAGATCGTCTGGAACAGATACGCGATTATCTCATTACGATTAATTTTACACGATGATATATATGCAATATATTTCTCAAATATTTTCTTCAGAGATAATACCGCGTAATACCTCAGATAATCCCACAGCCAACACGCGGGTGCCATTGCGATCTCTTCCTCCGCGGTGTGATACACGAGCTTCGACTGACCGTTGTCGTCGCCGTAGATGTCTTGAGCGCCGTCGATCGGTCGATCCGGTGGATTCGAGATGAGATTCTCCGCCGTGAGCGCGAACTCGATTTTAACACGCGGATAACTCGGCGTTGCGGCTGCTGTGTGCGACCGCGATCTTATACTGTTCCGATAATTTCTATTCGCGAACAATAACAAACAAAGATTGTGTCACAGCGACGCGTTGCACATGTTACAAATCAAATGTACGCGGGGATTCACATCCACATACGTTACCTAATGTCCTCGAGATCGAACGTGGCGACGGTCACCTCCACGTCTTCGAGCGCAAATTGCTTCCCGCGATTCAATATGTTGCCGTTAAGCGTGACGCTGGAGCCACCGTTGAAGTAGAGCCGACCGCCGTCGCATCCGCGCAAGTTGCTGAACATGTAACAACCGCCAGCTTTGAAGGTCGCCGACTTCACCAGGTCCACGGTGACGTAAGCCTTTCGCAGTTCGAAGTAGGAACCGCTTCCTTCGGGATAAAAAATTATTCAACAACCTGAACGCGAAAAATCTTTATGTTCTCTTTTTCGCGCGTGAATTGCGCGCGGTGTGTGTAAAACGAAAATTAAGCGGTTGGTTGAATTACGCGATGAATTACCGTTAGCGATAATCTCCACGCCGTCCAACGACATCGGTACGTGATTGCTGGCTGGGTGCCAGAGTTCCTCGCATATCTCGAAACCGACGCACGTGTCCCTGGTCGCGATAACCGCGTCGCCGAACGGCACCAGACTGGTACCGGTGATTTGCGATATCATCCGCGGCAGGAAGTAATCCTCAACCGTGCGTTCCTGTTTACATTCAACGAGACGTGACCAAAAGAATCCAAAGCTCGAAACTACGAAATCTAATATTTCAAAATTGCGTGTGTCGTTTTTTACTTTAGTCCAAGGCGAGAACCATCTGCTTTCCCGATAATTGCCGTCCTCGCACAGACGCATCTTCGGTCTTATCAGCAAGATCTGTCGATTGAGAAACGCCACTCTGCAGTTGTACGTCACGTTCTTGTGCATCACGGGCATGCCCACGTCGATCAGAATGTTCTCGCAAATTCTGTTCTGCAAAAGCCGTCCCAAAACCTCCCAGCTGTGGAGCAACGTGTCCGACTCGTAAAAGTGATCCTCGCAGCTGTAACCGCTGTCGAACGAATATTTTGTTTGTTGGTGGTTTTACGTGATCGCAATGAAAAAAAAAAACTGATCATAATAAGAAAACATAACGCGGAGATTTGATTTTACCAGATCTCCAGTTCCGGGCCGCTTCTGTAAGTGGCGCCGGCATCCTTCGCCTCTTGTATGCTCTGCAAAATCCTCCTGTGGTTTCCCTCAAAGTCCATCGCCCATTGATTCAACGTGCACACGGCTACGGTCACTGTGCGCCCCATGCCGGAGAGATGTGCCGGTTTCGATGTGATACTTCCGCAAACGATCCGCGAACGCTCGTTGACTGAAACTCTGATCGAGCGGCAATTAGGAGAAAAAATCCCGGAAAGTTCGATCTCCGAAGAAGATCTCGGTGTCAACGAACCCCCGCATCGTTTCAAGCGTTTATTAGCGCCGATATTATCGCGACTATCGGGAGGATCCGTTAGGAAAACGATTGCTCGGCGCGTTAGTACCTACGATTTTTTTTTTTTTTTTCCAATATCGAGCGTTCGTTGATTCAACAAAATCGCAGTCGCGAAGATTTGTGTCTTCTCGTGTACTCGCGCACCTGGGACTTGTTCCACGAAGAGTGTCGCGCTTTTTAAGCGAGTCAAAACGTGTTCTCTCCTTCTCTCGCACGAATTTCCAATGATATTCTCACGACGGTGCAAACATCACATCTTCGCGTGCAATAAAAAAAACTTTACAATCAAATACCGACAGTATCAATAAATATAGTTGTTGATGCTGTCGGAATTATTGATCGTACAAGGTCGCGTTTTTCCCAACCCCGTCCGCAACAATCTTCTAATATCGTCGGGATCGACTAAATACTGATAATTGTCAGCAATTTACCGTACGAGGGTCCGGTGATGCGAGACGATGATTATAAGAAAACGAGCTCTCGAGGATTGCTACTCGTTTTTTTACCTCGAGAAATTTCTCACAACGGGAAGCCGTGGTGGTGCAGCATCTCTCTCTCTCTCTCTCTCGCTCGGTTAATAATTCCAATCGGAATGTTCGATCGATCGTTCCGCGTAGATAAAACCGAACCGTTTCTGTTATCCGCGTTAGACGCGCGTTGATTGATCAATAACCGGGGAAAACCCAGGCACGACCCAGGTAGTAGACTTGCCTTCTCATTCCTTTCCCATCGCACGTAACAGCGTACGGACAACAAGAAAAAAAAAGACAGGAATACAAATGTACATATATTTACATTTGGATTCGAAAACCTATTCGATTCCTCTCTGCGATCGGTCGACAATTTTAATTAAAGCGAGCAAGTTTTTTAACAAAATAATGTCCCGAGATGTCTCTTCGGAGATTTTGTTGTTTGCTTCGCGCGCGACGAAGTTGAACGTTAAAATGGAAACGGAATAATTCACATTTTCGTCGTCGATTAACACGTTTTTTTTTTTTTTTTTTTTATTGAAAAAAGCCGACGAGATTATTATTTTCGATGAAACTCCCGTCTCGGCTGTCCGGAATGGGAACGTTAAACGAACAATCGTTTAGAGCGTGGCTCCGCCCACGATACACGACGGTTGTCAGGCAATCATTCAGGCAATATTCCGCTGAATCTCTTCACGGGGTAACGGGCCAGGTTCCTCTACCCCAGATCGAAACCTACTCAAGTTACGCTCAAGCTTTCAGTACAGCTTGCACTTCCTCGTCGGTGCCTGTCTCGGCGCGATTTCGTCCTTCGACGGAACACAACTATCAGAGAGTCCGATACATCAGCGAGAGGTCGCGAAAAAAAATAATTTTGTAGTTTCTTTGAAGTCCATCCTTGTCGCACATCTCGGAGATGCATTTAAATAAAAAAAAGTAGATATTGTTATATTTTTTTAAAAAAGTATAGAATATAAGATTCTGAAGAATCGAGGAATTTTGCGGTATGAAAATTGCGAGAAGGTGAAGCGACGAAGATGAAGAATCCGATCGCCAATTATCTCCTCGAAGAGGAATCATCGACGAAAGAAGATTACACGGACGAGAACGCCGAGAGCGGGAGAACGTTGTTGCCGATGCTCGCCGTCGACAATGTCGAGGATGAGGACGGGATGACTGACGAGAGATAACGAACGATGACGAAAGCGTCGTCGAGCAGCAGAGTGAGAGAGCTTCAAGCCATGCTGTTTCCGGTACAACCCATTCCAGGTAAGATTTCTCGATGAGAAGAAAAAGTCGCTCGTACGGAAAAAAAAAAAAAAAAAACAACAGAAAATTAAACGAGAAAGCGCACGTGTATCTGTTCTTAAAAAAAATAAAAATTAATTTTCATTTTAATGCAGAGAAAACGCGAAACAACGTGTCCGTGACTCACGTACTATGTTTACAACATATACAAAGTGTCGGCGAACCCACGGACAATGTACCCACCAATCGATCTTTCGTGTGTGGTCGCGCTCAAATTCTGGAAACGTGATGCCTGTTTTTTTTTTTCTCGCGTCTTCTGTCGTCTTCGAAACCTGTTCGATGTTCCGATGGACCGATTGATTAAATTCGCAGGAAATTAATTCGCGCGCGTTTCTTCGTTGACAAATTACTCGGAGAATTTTTTTTTTTTTTTTTTTTTTTTAACAAATACATTTCGACGTGTCTCGCCGTTTTCTTTAACATCTCAAAAGAGTTCCTCGCAGCCATCTTGGAAGATGACGTCAGAAGCGAGATGTAAAATTGCTGCCGTTCGACGCGCAATTATAAAACAATAAAGTAAAAATAAAAAAAATAAAAATTGTAAATCGACTTCCCCACCAAAAAAAAAAAAAAAAATATCGAACTTCTTCAACGATGCAGGTGGCACGCTTTCTTCCGATCTGGTGCCGCAGGAGTTGCAGGTGTCTTCTCCGTTGGAACGTTACGACGGCTCGGCTCTGAGACGGGACGCGGAATCGGCGCTGTTCGGATTACCTCTGAGTTTGTCCGCGCATCGATACGCGAAGGAGACTCTGCGCGCGGTTCTCGACGCGCGATGCGTCGTCGACGGAAGCGTTCAGGAGGCGGCCAGGTGGCCGACCGAATGCCAGGTGATAACAAAAAATCGCGCGTTGCGATCTCTCATGCAACGCCAGTTTAGAGAAAGTCACTTCGTTCTGTTTTTTCCATTTTACTTTGAATTTGATTCGCCGCGAATCACTCTCAGGTGATTCCGGAAAGAATTCGCCACTTGGAGCACAATCCGAGCGTGCCGGAAATCTTCTACGTTCCGACGGGGAAGGAACCGAGACCGAAACCGGTCGGCGACGAGCTCGGAACCGTGATATTCCGCTACTGTCCGATCAACGTCACCAATTACGTGAGTCACATTGCGTTTTTTTCGGATAAACAACAATTGCGTCGTAAAAAAGACAAATTTGAAGAGAGAAGGTTCGTTGTTTTTTCGCAGTTCAGCCGATCCTGCGTAGGCGGTAGCGCGGTATTGCCGTTTCCCGTGGCGATCTCCGGGGAGTCGAACGACGCGAACGACGTTTCGAAAGAAGGAGCTAGCGATATCTTCTTCGTCGCCGAGGCGTCCCGACAACCGGTGGAGAACGACAACAGCACGGATCTGCGGTTCGAGTCGCGATTCGAGTCCGGCAATCTCGGCAAAGTGGTGAAGATAACCGACACGTACTATCAGCTCTATCTGAGACGGGATCTCTACACACAGAGGCACACGCAATGGTATTATTTCAGAGTGTCGAACACGAGGAGCCGAATCACGTACAGGTACACTTGAAAAGTAAACATAAAGCTGACCCTTCACAAATTTAAATCCATACTGTTTTTTACCTCCACTCAAACAAACTGCTATCTCTGGTGGGAAAAAATACAAGAAAAAATAAAACAAATAAACATGTAAATAAAAACAGAAATAAATCAGTTTTTATTTTAGTAAATTAAGACAATTAAAAAATAAATAAATAAAAACAACAGGTTTTCAATCGTAAACATGTGCAAGGAGGAGAGTCTCTATAACGAGGGTCTGAAGCCTCTTCTTTACTCCACCGAAGACGCTCGCACCCGATCGGTAGGTTGGAGAAGATGCGGCGACAACATCACGTATTATCGGAACAACGATTCGTCGTAAGTCTCGATCGAGAAATTACTTGAAAGAATAAAACAAAAAAAAAAAACAAAAAAAAAAAGAACGAACGGTGCAGACACAAGAGAAAATTCTCACACAAAATGATTGCAGAAACGACGACGAGAGGGAGAAGCACACGCTCACGTTCAATATCTCGTTTCCTCACGACCGTGACATCGTGTATCTCGCGCATTGCTATCCCTACACGTACACCGACCTCCAGGTAAATAATCTCACGCGCGCACAATTCCTCTTCCTCCTCCTAACAATAAAAATAACACATCCATATTTCATCGGCGAATTTTTCGAATCGAGCCCCAAGCAAGAAGCGAAGTTAACTAACCTCGAGGGGGTTAATTATTTACCGGCGTGGAAACGTTCCGCAAAAATACGTATCACTCGCGCAAATGAGACATTGTGCTTCTTCTTGGGGAGGGATTTTATCGCGGTTCGCCATCGCGCGATCATGCGCCAGAGAGAGACTCGATTTCCCAGCGCGCGATTGTATTTTATCGCGCGTCGTGCAGATTAAATCTCTCTCTCCCTCTCCCTCGCCTCGTCTCTAATTACGCGCTTACTTAAATCACAGGAGTATCTCGGCAAGATCGTAACCGACCCTGCGAAAACGCGGTTCGCCAAGCTGCGCCTGCTCTGCCGCAGTCTCGCCGGAAACGGCGTGTACTACTTGACCATAACCGCGCCGACTACGCAAGACGACGAGGCGCGCAGGAAACGGGGAGTCGTTATCACCGCCCGGGTGCATCCCGGCGAGACACCCTCGAGCTGGACGATGAAGGGCATCATCGACTTTCTCACCGGTGACACGAACCGAGCTCGAGTAAGAGAGACGAGACGCGCGGGGAGACGACGCGTGAGAAATTAAATATTTCAGGCGGTAGAATCGCACGTAAAAAAAAAAAAAAAAAAAAAAAAAAAAAAAAAAAAAAAAAAAAACAAAAAGAGAGTCCGAATAGAAAAGAGAATTTTGTTATTTGCACGCCGAGAAAGGGTGATCTTCGGTTCCTCTTAGAAGCTTTGTTTGATGTCTTCGGATTTTACTTCGCGAGACACAGCCGCGTCCAAGTATTGCCGATCGCGACAAAAAAAAAAAAAAAAACATCGCGCGATCATTATCCGCAGGAGCTCAGAGAGAGATTCGTCTTCAAGTTGGTGCCGATGCTCAACCCGGACGGCGTCATTGTGGGCAACAATCGGTGCTCTCTGTCGGGCAAGGATCTGAACCGGCAGTACAGAACTGTGATGCGTGAGAGTTACCCGTCCGTTTGGCACACGAAGCTGATGATTCGACGTCTGCTCGAGGAGTGCGGAGTAGCGATATACTGCGACCTTCACGCGCACTCGAGGAAGCACAACATCTTCGCTTACGGTTGCGAGAGCAAACGCGCCGGAAACAGCGGGAAGTTGTCGGAACAGGTGTTCCCGCTGATGCTTCACAAGAACGCGGCCGACAAGGTGATTGAGACAAGACAGACAAGAGACAAGTTCTTCTGTTCAATTCAAAACAATTGTTTTCGGTTTAGTTTTCTTTCGAGAATTGCAAATTCCACGTCGAAAAGGGAAAGGAAGGTACGGGCAGAGTGGTCGTCTGGTCGATGGGCGTTCAGAACAGTTACACCATAGAGGCTTCGATGGGCGGTTCGAAAATCGGCTCGAGATGCGGAACTCACTTCTCCATTCAGGACTACGAGCAGATCGGCAAGGCTTTTTGCGAAACTCTTCTCGACTTTTCGGATCAAGATCCTATGAAGGTAATGCGCGCGTTTGTCCATTCAATGTGGTCTTCGCTCCGTTTCTTCCGAAATTAAGATACGACGTAACTTGACGCAGGAAAGACTCCGGAATAAGATTATAACCAGATTGACGAAGGAAGGATCCAGCGCCGAGGAGCCTACCAACATCGACTTGACTGATTACTCAAGGTACCGTCGGATAGAATTTGTTCGCAAAAACTCGAGATGCATCACCTGTTTCTTAATTTCTCATTTTAGAAACTTGTTCATTTTCTCTCGTAATTATTCTTTTCTTTTTGTTTTGTTTTTCATTCTTGTTACAAATGTCTGTTTCAGTATTAATATTTTTCATCGTTCCAAGAGAAAAACTCTTTCCCGTTTAATAATAAAATAAATAAAATGCAAATAAAAATAATCTCCAATTAGCGACGAAGGAGACATCTCGCAGGAGAGTTTCTCGTCGGAGGAAGACGGGAGTACGGAGTACGCCGCGTGGTCCGAGGGTGGTGGTGATTTTCTGACGGGTCGCCGTCGTTATCTCTGTGTACCTCCGCCCTCGCCGACCTTCGTTCCGCCGAGAAGCGTCGGTCTTTACAGAAGAAGAGCAAGACGAGACGTCGTCGGAAGGATTTATCTGAGACGTAGAAAAAATCTGGTAATCATCTGTCTCCATATACGAAACAACAATCAGAACGAAAGAAACTAAGATAGATATTTTTATAATCTTTTTTTTTATGTTTATTTTAAACAGATGCAACGAGCGGTGATGGATTTGCCGACGACCGATCCGGGCAGCGACCTGTGCGATCTGACCGATTCAGCCGACGAGAGTTTTCTCAGACACGAAGAAGGAGATTACGAAGGTAAGTTCCCACACGCCGATTGAGAACAAAAGAAAACGTGAACCGCGACGAGTTGTTGACACACACACACGTTCGCATCTTATTTAGTTGTGTGGGGAAGTACGCGTGACGAAAGTCATCAGAAAGAAGTCACGGTCAAACTGTCGGACAAAGAAGTTGTCGAAAAAGAGGAGGAAGGTCCGGACAAGATACTGATACTACCGGAAATCGTGAGACCTCGAAGCGTGTCGTTCGGAGAATTACTGCCGCGTAATAAGGATCATCGCAAGGCTTGTCGACGACCGCGATGTCTTCGGTAACGAAACCGTTAAATTAATCAATTAAAAAAAAAAAAAAAAAAAAAAAAACTCATCAATTGGCGTTAGTTAGGGAATACGAGAAGAATTGACAATGATGCACTTTTGTCGTCAGAACGTTGAGAACTTCACCGGTCTCGCCGACGAGTCAGGAGGCGAGAATCACGTTAACGTCGTTAAGACGCCAGATCTGGACGGGTGTGCCGTCCGAAGGTGGCGATGCGGATCGTTTCGTCGACGCTTTTGTTAAGGCGCCGTTGAGCTGGGGCGTCTCCAGACACGCTCTGATGCACTATCCCACGGACTGCGAGGTCACGCTAAAGTGAGTCTGATTTCTCGACTTAATAACCGCGGATCGTTCTGCAGAAAATCGTGACATTGACAAACGGAACAATTTTACTTTCGAAGATTTACATTTTTTTTTTTTTTTGATGTAACAGAAATCAGTCGATTAAACGATCGAGTTCGATCTTGCTCTTTGAATCAAACCGGTGACTGTCCTAACCGGGAACGTACCAAAAACTGGATCGGACATTTTTGCAACAATGAATTATAATTATCGAAATTATGTTTATCAATTTCAATATCCGGTCATTGCGACCTTACACACGTAGTTTGTCTAAAAACGCGCGATTTATTTATTTATCCATCTGATTAGATTACAGTCCAGAAAAGCGCAGACGCTCGTTTACACCGAGGACAAGGAGGACGCGAGAAAAGCGCGGAAGAAGTCGCGACGAAAGCGACAGGCCGTCACGGAGAACGCGTCGTCCCAGCTGAAGGAAGTCGAACGGACGACGGTGCGGACGGTTGACAGACGGAAACCGTCGAAGAAAAAGAACTCGGAGTGGCAGCGTGCGGTCAATCTCAATTCCGGGCTCAAAGAGACCGCGAGAAGCGCGAAACCTACCACCGTTCTGACGATCGAGGCGGATTCGTTGAAGCTACTGGCCGCGCCGACGACGCCGAAGCAATCGCGACGACAGCGGAAGTCCGAGCCGCGTAAGAAATTCCGCGTCGTCGGCGCGTCCACCTGCGTCGTCGATGTGGCGAAAGCAAAATCGACGAGGACGACGACAACAACGACGACAACGACAACGACGACGACGACGACGATGACGAGTCGCGACGTCTTCTGCGAGAGTATGACGTCGGACGACGACGTCGCCTCGTCGGACTCGGGCAAACGGAAGGTCGCGAAGAAGAAACAGAAGAAGAAAAAGCAGCAACAAGCCAGAAAACCTGCGAACAAAGGCACGGAGCAGAATGGCAAGCGCGCCTCCAGCGCGAAAATTCTACGCCATTTAAAACCCATTTTATAGAAGAAATGAATTTTCTTTCAACATTTATTATGTGAACTTTTCATTTTGTTTTTATTTTAATGCTATAAACGTACATGTGTATTCGATTTGGTTTTTTTTTCTCTGGTTTATGTGATCTCAGTCCTTTACCAAAGTAAACTTCCGTGACCGATCTTCTATCGGGACATATCCGATTTTTGATCGTCCCAATTTGTCTACGCAAACTTTTGATACACGTGCGGTAACGAAGTACGCGTAGAAATGCAATAGCTTTTGTTCTTTTTTTTTTTTTTGTTACTTGTCAAAGTGTCCCAAAATCGACGGCGGAAAACTCTGTTCATCTCGACTAGTTTTTTACGATACTAGCACATCACAGACGCGCGCTACGCGCACGCTATTATTTTTATTTTAACATATTCCGTCAGTAGACACAACATGTCACATAAAAATCAAACTCAAAAACTAAACAAAGGGAAGAGTGGAAAAACAATACGTAACAAGGAGAAGTAGAGAATCACCATATGACTAAAGTCACGTGACAAGGAAAAGAGTAAAAACGAGAATATTATATATATCATATATAATATTCTATATCTATATATAATACACACACACACACACACCGTAATCACGTGACCAAAGTCAGTGACCCCGCCAAAGTCGCGCGACCGAGGTCAGTGACCGCCTCCCTCCCCCCAAGGCCGCGCGGCCGAGGTCAATGAACTCCCCAAGGTCGCGCGGCCGGGTCAGTGACCCCGCCAAGATCGCGCGGCCGAGGTCAGTGACCTTACTGTAGTATGTAATACTGTAGTATATAATACACATATAATATAATATAATGTACAATATTATAAATATATAATAAATTATATAATATATATTATACGGAATATATATTATAATATATATTTAATGGTATATATATTATAAATTACAGTCACGTTACTTTAGTCACGTGTTGTTTTTCTACTCTTTTCTGTCACGTGACTTTACTTTAGTCACGTTTTTAGTTTTCTCCATGTATACGACGAACTGTCAAAATCGCTTTTCTGTCATTATTTACTCTCTCGATCTTACCTCGATTCGATTTGACTTGACTCGACTCGATCAACCAATCGGCAACGCGGAAAGGAAGCAATAATAGATGCGATACATTCGACTGAAAAACGCGCACTTTGCGGTACACATGGATTTTTTAATGAGAGATTTGATACACACACCACTTGTTGATTCTGACAGTACTATTATTATTATTATACTGCCTGTAGTGGCCGTATAAGATCCATGTTGAAAAGAGCGCACAGTTAGAGTTATTTAAAAAAAAAAAAAATAGAAAAACAGTTCTGGTCATTATATTTTACTGTAAATTTCAAAACGCTAATTACGGCGCAATGTACGCGTCGTCGTACAATTATTGTCACCATGGCGACAACGTGGCCAGGTAAACAATTCGCGACAACGGAACACAGGTCACGTGGTCGCGTGATTGCAGATGATCGCGACGAGCTGATTGAACGAACTACGGCTTATCATTTGCAAAAAAAAAAAGATCGTGACATGTAAGAATTGTTACATAACGAGATTATTTGAGAACAGACAGTTGTTCAAATTGGATAACACGCACACACGTTTGATTGTCGCGGCTAATTGAAAATAAAGAAATTACCTTCGATAACCCGGTTGTACGTCAAGAAGTGACGGATGCGACGGGGTTCATGTTTGGTTTTCACTTGGAAGAGTAATCGCGAAGACAAATTATCTGATAAAAAGTCAACAAAACAGAGAGACAAGCTCCGACACAATACACACAACAGCTTAACACCGAGCTCGTCACTGTCCTCGGCGACGCTCGTGCTTCACAACTGGCAGACACGCGACTCGCAACAAAAATCCGAGTCTCTTTCGCGTTACGCCATCTCGCGGCTAATCAACGACGCTTTTCAAATTGACCAATCACGATTGACGTTCAATCAGCTTTCGGCAGAAACGAGGGAGCATCCTCGAAAAACTCTAACCCTAACCTAACCCAACCTTTGTTACTATCATCATTAATTGTCACGATAGACATTGTCGATTGTACGGTGTCCTATCGTACCGTAGTCAATCGTACGGTGATCAAATCGTACAGTATGCCAATCTTGCGATGTCCAATCGTACTGTGGTCAATCGTACCGTGTCCAATCATACGTGTCCAATAGTACGTGTGCAATCGTACTGTGTCCAATCGTACCGTGGTCAAACGAACGTCACCTTAGACTGGATCCTCATGCAGACACCGGCGCTTTGACACCGGAGCGTTGATTGGTGAAAAGCGAGTGATGAGGGTTACCATTTTTTGTGTCTGCATGAGGATCCAGTCTTATGCATGTATATATAAAAGTTTGTTTCGGCATAACATCCTGCAAAAACGGCTCTTATGACCTTATTCATATTTTCTTAGTTTAGACTTCAGAGCCTTAAGTTTCTTTAATATCTTATTGTAAAAGGCTCTCTTTACATTAGATGAAATGCTGACCAGCGATTGGTCGATTTGCTTACAACTACGTTTAAACCAGAGAGAAACCTGAGAGCGGCCATCCTATTGTAATTTTTTACGACGGTTTCAGCCGCTGGTTTTAGCCGTATTTCCACAAAAGTGGAACTCAAAGGCCGTTCTCCATGAAACTCAAGTCGCAGGTCTCGTGGAACTGATCAATTACGTTGGTCGATTGATCTGATTTGACTCTGCAATTGGTCAATTCCACGAGATCTGATACTTGCGTTTAATGTAGAACGGCCTTTGAGTTCCACTTTTGTGGAAATACGGCTAAAACCAGCGGCTGAAACCGTCGTAAAAAATTAAAATAGGATGGCCGCTCTCAGGTTTCTCTCTGTTTAAACTTTTGTTATGTGCAATGGCCTTCACTTTCCAATGCTTTGTCTCGCTCGCACTCGTTTAGTATACGCGCCTGCGAATAATGACGCTCGATTATCGGCCGATTTTTTCATACCTCTCGATATAGCTATCCTCTGGATAAGTTCCTCTGAGAACCAATAAGGAGAATCAATTTTGGAAGATATCTTTTAGATAAAGTTATCGAAAACTTATCTAGAAGTAAAAAAATTGGCTGTCATTTTTTTTCACTTCTAGATAAGTTTTCGATAACTTTATCTAGAAGATATCTTCCAAAATTGATTCTCCTTATTGGTTCTCAGAGGAACTTACCCAGAGGATAGCTATCGAGAGGTATGAAGAAATCGGCCGTGTAATTATGCTCATACTCTTGGACTTCGTGTGAATCTCTTTTTCGGGCCTCGTGACTCTTATTGCAAAGATACGCGACAAAGATAGCGATATATTAGTATTATATATGCTATAAATGTACGAAGAACGCTGTACACACCTTTTACCAACATCTTACGCTCTAAAGTTTTTCTTTTTCATGAATCTTTGGATGTCGTTAAATTATTGCACCTATGTAGATATCAATTTTACAGCTTTTTTGGTGTGGTCTCAGAGATTCATATCTTTGCACTGAAGAGTTAATATATGTTGGACATTTCAAATAAAATTAATTCTGGTCAGTCTGAAAAAAAAGCATGAACATTACAAATGATAAATGGAACATCAGAAATTAGCGTAAATGAGTACGCTATGAAGGACGACGAGTTATACGCACTTGATTCGCGCGTTCTTTTTCACAAGCAATTTACATCAGTTCGGAGTTTATTTTTTCCACTTTAAATGAGAGGAATAAAATAAAATCTGAACTGGTATGACCAGTTTAGCGAAAGAGAACAACTGTTGGAAAAGACCAATACTGAGCAAAATACCATACCAATGGAGGCCGCTACTTTAATCGTAAAATATAACGAACGGAGTGTTTTCCCGTGTCTTATTAACTTTATAAATTAATTTCTTCAAAATAATTGATATCTTATTATAAGAAAAAATAATAAAGAAACACAATGAAATACGTTTAGCAACTATTTTATAATTGACTCTTGTTACTTTGAAATTAATTAAATAAACAGAAACGGTCAGTTGATCAGAGAAGTAGCGCATACTTTTCACGTTCCAATACAAGTCGGTAAAAAATTTTTCATATAATCTTATACACAAATTAAAATTATTATATCTAATTATGCAAATTTATATGCCGAATATGTTCATACAATTTTATTCCTGATAAATAATTTTCGGCAAATTGTTTTAAACTGGCTATTAACATGAGTTTACATAAATTTAATAATTCATTTCTCTCGCTGTTGTGCAGTTAAACAAACCACACACGCGTCTATCTGGTTAACTTCTGTCATTTTGTCTTCTCTAGAAAGACGCTCGGGTGTGCGCCGATAAGCTTTTTTCCACGAGTTATATTTACAAAATTATATGGTACTTTTATTTAGACCGTTTACGTAAAAATTCGCTCTTTACATCTTTAAACGTTCTTTGAATGTATTCTGCAAGTCAAAACGAAATCAAATCATGTAAGCAGTATCGATATGATTATACACTTTTTTTTAAACAAATATATTTAAGCGCACCTTCTGCACACATATATTTTAGTATGTAGTGTTTACGAAAAAAAACATGTTTAATATATATACGTTGATCATTACGAGAAGCAAGACTGTTTATTGTATGTAGAACTTTACTGTGTTGAATAAATGTGTTGAACTTTGACACAAACATCCGTTGATTAAAATGTAAAATAAATGCATTAATCTGCATTTACCTTGAAAAGTTTTCTTTACTACACACAACTTGAAACACGTATACCGTCTAACAAGCTATTTATGTGGTTAAGTCAGAAAATTATTGTGACTTTTTATATATTTTATTTATTGATACTTCAGCCTTACGGCCAAGAAGGGAACTTGGTTACATCTTTCTTACAACACACCTTTTGTCTCTTTTCATACCGTATCATATTTTGTGCACGCATGCTGCATCTATTGTGACTTTTTATATATATAATAGATATATTTATTCTAAGAAATTTTTTATTGTTTAGTGGATGTTGGTAGTCATATAATTCTTTCGGATACTAGATTTTGCAAAAATCACGTATTGGATTTTTGAAATAAAATTAACACATTGCTTACGGGTCACGAGATATCTCGTTTTCATGTTTTATTTCGATTCAATCGGCAACGTAAGCAACCAGTGGCAAATATTTTTGTTACGTTANCAGGGTAACAAAGCCTCTCCCATTCTTAAGACAAATGATGAGCAAAATAATATTAATATTAATATTAATAATATTGCTCGCCAAGCATGCTTCTACAGCGTTCGGAAATGTGCGGGTTTTGAACGCGGTTTGAGCGCGCAGAGCGCCGTACGGAATGTGTTAATTAAAAACCTTATTATCATATTATTGACACGCATAATTTATGCAGAGATAGGAGGTTAAATTTGGCTGTATAAAGCAAACACGATTTTTTCCTGTGTATAGTTATAAATTTGCTCACATAGCACGTAATATTATTGCAATATCACAGTAATATTGTCTTTCCATTGCAATATTACACTCTAATATAATAGAAATATTACCGTAATGTTAATGTAATATCACAGTAAATATTAAAATGTCCGCTGAAATATATCACAATAATATTACGGTGATTACTAAAACAAAAATCAATGACACATCGCCTTATAAAAGAAGAAATTTAAATCGAGATTTCACTCAAATTAATCTTTGGAGGCCTGATTCAGTTTGCCAATTAACTGATTAATTCAATGAAAGATATCGGAAAACACGAAAAAAATCCTAAAGTAGATGATAGGATTCGAACACGAGCTCTTCATACTCGCAGCACTCAGTCTGCGAGACAAATTGTTTCTTACTAACAATAAAATGTAAATCAACCGGTATCTCGATTATCCGATATACGCTTATATACATGTATCTTACAATAGTTTTTCGCTTTTGCGACAGAATAAAGCCACCGCCGCCGCCGTCGCCAGTATGACGCCGCGCGGATAGACAAGAGAGGGGAGTGATTTGTGTACGCGCGTTCAAGTTATTATATTATTATTATATTATATTATTATTATTATATTATTATATTATATTATATTATTGTAGTATTACAAGAAATAGTTTTTCTAAAAATAAAGAGATTAATTTGACATAGAAAATAACTGTTTTTTTAGCAATTGTTCCTCGAACCTCGATTATCCGTTAGGTCTCGATTTATCCGGGCCGTTTGTCTCTCAATTAAGCCGGTTAATCGAGATCCTACTGTAAATATATACCAAATGATATATAAAAACATGTATACACATTTATATGTATCATTTTCATTATATAATAATAATTATTATAATTGTTTTTTGTTGATATAATACATTTTGAAAACAAAGCGTTTATGTTTAAAACAAAAGTTGTAGGGTTTTTGCAATAACGTAGCAAAAGATATGTATTATATTATATATTAAATACAATGCGATGTGTGCAACATCCTAAATAGTAAATGACGTTAAATGACATCTCTAACGTTCATAAGACGTTCATACTATAAAAAAACATATCTGATATATAATTTTGTTACTTAAGATGTAATACAATACTACCGTAATATTTCAATATTATATATAAATGTAATAAATCGATAATATTATTGTAATACTGTATTATAATATCTAATATTATTAGTATATTGCAATTTTTTATTGTGATATTTCCGCAATATTACGTGCTATGTGGGTAGTTTATTAAACATAATTAACGTAGAACGTAAAAATATGTATTTTTTTTTTTTAATTTTTTTTAGAAATATTGAGAAAGACCAAAACCAAAAGTTAAAAAAACGTTCTATGTTAATTATGTTTAATAAACTAAATTTATAATCATACACAAGAAAAAACCGTGTTTGCTCCAAATACAGCCAAATTTAACCGCTTCCCTCTTTGCATAATTGTTAGAGCTATACTTTACATCACTATTTATGCATAATTTAGTTTCTAATCGCTCATTTATGATATTTCTTCATGTTTTTAGACATGTCTAAAAATATGGAGAAGACATGTCTTTTAGACACGCGATGTCTCGCGCACGTGTCTTGGACGCTGTTGCCATCTAATGTCATCTATTGGAAAATAGAAAACGCCACGAACTTTCCAAACAATACTTAATATTCTGTCTGCGTTGCGGTGACACGTTTATGACTTAAATTTTATTATTCTTATCGATTTAGAAATGATGATGATGATAACAGTAGTGTTTTTCTTATTAATAAAGCTGACAAATAAAAAAAAAGATAACAAAAATATGTATGATACGGCATATGTATATAGATATAATAAATTATATATAACTATAATTATATAAAGTAAATAATGATGTTACTGAAGCGTTTACGATAAAAACGAATTAAGATAAAAAACGTAGATTTGCGATATTCCTAAAATTCACGATAAAAAATAAAACATTTTCAATGTCTCTAAGCCCCGATCTTTATTATTTTTCGATAACTATCTAAAGAAGTACAAGCATACTTTATCTTTCTAATATTTATTGAGAACTTCATAGACGAGGGAATAAGCTATAGATATAATAAATTATATATAACTATAATTATATAAAGTAAATAATGATGTTACTGAAGCGTTCACGATAAAAACGAATTGAGATAAAAAACGTAGATTTGCGATATTTCTAAAATTCACGATAAAAAATAAAACATTTTCAATGTCTCTAAGCCCCGATCTTTATTATTTTTCGATAACTATCTAAAGAAGTACAAGCATACTTTATCTTTCTGATATTTATTGAGAACTTCATAGACGAGGGAATAAGCCATAAGATAATCACATAAAAATAAGAAATAAGAATCACTGTTGCCGCGCAACAAGAAAGCATTTCCGATCGGCTAGCCTTCGGGACCCGGTAACTTCTCCGCCAGTTCGATCATGTGTCAACGAGAAATTCGAAAGTAAATATAGTACAGGATCAGAGTTAGCAAGAGGAGAGATAAGAAGGCTGCAGTCGGCGATACTCCTGTCGATGCTGCGGCTGCCATTCTTTCGAATTTCTTCGGATCCAGCTATAATTTCCGGTTCTGCTGCTGACATGACAATAGCAACACTTAAAAAAAATACGTTTGCATTTTGCACGCGATGCGTGCGTAATTTTTACTTTAACTTAAGGTCATTACTACTTTTATGCATTATTGCAAATTACATTCTTACTTCAATTGCATTTGCAATAATGCATAAAAGTAACTACAAAAATAAATTGAAGGAAAACTTCTACTCGTATCGTGTAAGTCAATGTTGAATAAATTTAAGCACTATTATTATACAAAGTTCCGGATTGATTTTGTCTCCACATTGTTTGATAATAGCAACGATTACAAATATAATCGTCGCTAAATTGTATCTGAGCCCATGTTGAAAACTTTTTGTTTGCAACAAATCAATTTAAAGAAAAAAAATGTTTCCGCAGTTATATACATCTATGATAAAAAATAAGTTAAAATTCATTTACTTTGTAAATTTTTTCTTGACACTTCTGTTTGTTATAAATCTCATGGTAAACAACTAACAATGAGTTAGAATGAGCCAGGATTGATAAACTGTAACAAATTACGTTAACCCTATTGAATGCTGAAAAATCGATTAGAATTTAAAGTTTTGTGAGAAAAATTTTAGAACTGTCAAAATATATTATTTTCTAGATACTAGTTTGTAGATATTAGTTTGTGTGTTGATACTAGTCTTTATAGAAATTGGTTCGTAGATATACTAGTGTTGGAAAATTTTGACGTAGAAAGTGTCGCGCGCGAAAACTGCAGTTTCTTTCTCAATGACAATTTCTGATCAAAACCAACGTTTATGTTAATTTTCTTTTGTTTATGATGTGTATTTACATGCAAAAATCAAAGTTCACTTTAATTTGAACTCACTAGTCGATTCTGACAACTGTAAGCAAAAGAAAAAAAACACACGAGTGGAAAAAATTGACGACGCAACAGCAGGAAGATGGAGGAGAACTTAATTAACGCCACCTAATACCGATGATGGTGGTGGTCGCCGCTTATAAAAGACCGCAGGAAATGTAAAGGTGACCAGTTTAGTGCTAGCACATCGCAAAGGTTTGATCGTGTACTCGCGAAAATAATATATAGGTGAGTACTGGTTTCCCTCTTCCAGTTTTCTATAAATCAATCTTTCTTTCTCGAGTGTTAAATCAATTGTTAAGAAACATTTTTTTTTAAGAAAATATGTTTGAGATTATCTGATCGATTTTAAGTGCGACAAACATGTCGATTCATCGACAACATATACATATCCTCTAACGTCAAATTTTAATCAAATGCTCATTCGGGATTTTTTTTTAAACAAATCAAGGATATTATTTATATGATTGCAAGAGTTGCACACGTACACACAAGCACGAAACATTTCTTATCTGAGAACTTTTTCATAATAAAGTTTTAGAGATTAAATCCTCCCTCCCTTTCTCTCTTTATGTATATATTTATATCTGTATGTAAAATTCTTTGGATTGTCCAAAAAAAAAAAAAAACATAAGTAAATGTGAAACTTTCTGCAAGTTTCAAATATCTACAAGTCATTTTACTACCCCACTCCGACCTGGAATGAGCAAACTTACGGAAGTAATGTTAAAAAGATGCGCATTTCAAATCGCGTCAATTCTCGAATTGCGTCGTGAAACGTTTGTTCCTGAAAGATAAAAAAAAACTCGCGATTAATTGTCACGCTTATCTTTTCGTTTGTTGACACAATTAGATCTTCCGAAAATCGCACAGGTAAATAATAACAGCGTTAGTATATTTATATTTGACATTAAAGACGAGAGGGTATACATATTACACGCTTCATTATGAAACTTGACTTCGCTGGTTTTCAGTCCGAGAATAAATAGAAGTAGGTACCGGAGCAGCTACAGATTCACTCTCGTTTCCGCTTTGCGAAATTGAATTGCATGAGAGATCATTTGCATTTAATGCGGTCAAGCCTTGGAATGGTTTATCGTCAGTGATCCGCAGTGCGCATGAAAAGATAATAAAATGTAAAATCAAATCATTCTACTCGATAAATAAACACGCGATCGTGATTGGCTTTTTTTTTGTTGCGCTCTCTTCCGGTCTTTCTGTAAAACACAAATAGATACGATTTTTTTGTCTCGGCTTGTGATGACAACTTTGTTTCCAACTTTGTTGCCAATGATAACGTTGCGCCGGTCGAAATCGATTTATTGCGCATTTTTGTATTTCTGACAATTCGAGAACTGCCGTTCTCGGCAAGCGATGTGACATATCGCAGACAATACTTGAAGTTGAGTGTACAACCGCCCGTTCACTATACACACATTTGTCACATTTGTTCTGACACGCGCGTTTTACGAAAAGAGAGACAGAGAGATTTTTTCAAAAATCGAAAACAAAAAGAAAACATATACACGTATCAAAATAACGATTTTACAACAATCACTTTGCGAATATCGTTTACGATTTCATTGCGTTCTGTTATTGTTTTGTAGAAATCATGTCAGCAGTAGAACCGGGAATTGTATCTGGATCCGTTGCTGCGGCAGCATCCACAGGAGTATCGCCGACTACGGCTTTCCTATCTCTCCTCTTGCCAGCTCTGATTCTGTATTATATTTACTTTCGAATTTCTCGTTGGCACATGATCGAATTGGCGGAGAAGTTACCTGGTCCCGAAGGCTGGCCGCTGATCGGGAATGCTTTCTTGTTTCGCGGCAACTCCGACAGTAAGATCAAATAATATAACGACAGCGAAATTATATCTATGTTATGTATTAATTTATTATTTTTTAAAATATTGTTTTACACACAAATAATACATATACATATAAAAATAGAAATCTATAATCGTCGATCACACACGTCTGTTGCAGCTATATTCCGCACAGTGTACAGAAAATCTTTCGAATTCGATCAAGTGATCAAAATCTGGCTCGGGCCGAAGCTAGTGATCTTCCTGATGGATCCGCGTGACGTCGAGATTATTCTGTCAAGCCACGTTTACATCGACAAATCCACCGAGTATCGATTCTTCGAACCCTGGCTCGGAAACGGTCTTCTTATCTCGACCGGTGCGTATATAAATTTTTTACGTAATTATTCGCACACTCACCCGTCGAAGGAAATATCCGTGGTAACACGCACGTTATTGGATCGCGTCTGTCACTCAGCGCAAGATATGCAATCAAGCACAATACTGTCTCTTTCTCTCGCAATTTCCGTAAAACCTTTCCATTAGAGACAAGCGGCGAATAACTCTTCCGATTAGAAGAAAGAAAATCAATCCCGTAATTTCGTTTCAAACCATGAGAGAACTCGTTTTGTCTTTTCGATAATTTGCAGTTTGCGATTTTTTTACATTCGTGCCGTTTCACGACGTAACTTTCTTCGCGGCGCGCCAATTATTTCTAAAAGCATTTTTTTTTTTTTCTGAACAATGAATCGCTTTGTATTGAGCGTGCGAGATGTGTTTTCTCGAGATGCGTTCCTTGATCTTTGAGAGACCGAAGAAACACGTCATTGCACAGCTTAAACACTTTTCGACGATTTTTTTTTTTTATCAACTTCCTTTTACATCGACAAGAATCGATCGAAAATGTACTTAGTCATACTATAATTTTGCTTATAACGTGCAAATTAATACGCAAAAATTCGAATTGAATAACAATTCTAAAATTTATATATGCACGACGCTACCTTTGCGTCGCACGTGTCCGAATTGTTCATTTAATCCTTTCGAAAAAAGAAAATTTCAAAAAATCTCAATGCGAGAAAAAGACACTTTGAAAAAAAAGTCAAATATTGAAGTCAGATTCTCCACCCATTCCGCGCACAATCGCCTACGGCTACAAAATAATCATCCGTTCACTTCTCTCGGTAGATCGGTTTTTAATTCTCTTGATTTGAATAGAATAAAAAAAACAAATACTTTTTTTAAGCAGAATATTTGTTATGTAATAATGACTTAATATATGATGTGCGTTATACCAGTTTTTTGTATCAGTTAAGATTTGAAGGAAAAAGAATGCCTATTCTCTAACGATCAGGAAACATTTCTCTTCTCTATCTACGAACACAATTGGTATTCTGCTTAAAACACGCTTTGACGTGAAACGAGATGATAAAAGCAGAGATAATAAAAACAGATTGATTTATTATTAAATAATTAAAAAATTTGTTATTACAATCAATTATCATTATTACAAGTTTGAAATTTACTCATTATTAAAAATTTTATAATTTTATAGTAAAAAACATTTAATTTAAATCCCGGACAAGAAGTTATGAAAAACTATTTTTTTATATAAAAAAAACTTTATATATATACTTCTCTCGTTTTTAATTGTATGTAATTTAAATTTTGAATGTCTTTTATATGTTTGAATATGTATAAGTAACTCTCTGTCTCTTTCTTTATTACCATCTGAATTTATTCATTTCAAATTAAAACAAAAATTACGTATAAATATCGAATTTGCACGTGTACGTGTAAGAATGATAAAAGAAAATCTTTTGCGCGTGTATTTAATACAAAGAACTGTGGTTCAGATTGTTAATACGATTGTTGTTTTCACTTTTTCTCGAATTCAAAACAACACTGCGTGAGAAAACCATCGTTTTTTTTTTTTTTTTTATTCTATTTTGAATTTTAATAAAGCAAAATCTTGTTTTCCCGAACAGAAGGAAAAACTAACACTAGGAAAAAGATGCGCGGTATGTTCGTCGCTTTAAACTATTTGATCGTAAAACTTTCTCGGCTTAAACGCGCCGGGTCTTTGGCCTTTTTTCCTCGACGCCGGGGACGGAAACTCTCTCAATCGGCGTAACAGCGCGTGCACGTAATGTGCAACGCGCGTGTTACGCGTTTAATTCGCGTGTGCGTTTTATCGTTTAGCCGCCCGCGTGGTTAGTTCACTCCAGAGAACTCCACGCAATCTCTCGCAGTACCACTTCGTGTTGAGATTTTTTTTACTTTTTTATTTTTTTATTTTGTTTATTATATATTTTGCTTGCAGTACGGCGTTTTTTGCGACAACATAGAGCTGCGTTACATAATGATCACATAATCTAGTTGCGACCGTGTGCTAGCTGTTTTAATAATTATCCGTCGCTGGCTGTTCAGAGCCGCCAGGAGTTTCACGACCCGCGGCCGAGCGAATGAGTAGAAAATAGAGAGGGTGATATTTGTCATACATTGACAAATTTTTCCGCGCGACTAACATATCTCGATTTTATGTAACTCGACATTTTGAAAGTGACACATTGAGATAAAACGTTCAAATGATCGAACAATTATTAAAGAAAAATAATTATTAGATATTTACACATTTGTTAATTATTATTAGGTTACACACTTGCGTGTTTAGTAATTATGAAATTCTCAATTACCGAACATAACAACAAGTCTCTCTATGTTTCATTTTTACGATATGTTTTTAAAATATATCGGTTCTCAAACTTTACATATGCAAATATTTCCGCTTTGATATAATTTATCTATTTAAAAATAATAGCACGCGTGTGTTTAGTTACCGGTTGTATTTGTCCGGTTATTACGACATTTACCTTAAACAAATCTGTTCTATAACAACCTCTTACGCAATAACGGACCGCATAACGCGAGGGAGAGACGCGATAGAATGCACGTCGTCGGATTTTGCAACGCATAAACAAGCATTGCAAATTGTTGTGATGTCGCCTGACACATTCTCGTTTTTATTTCATATATATATGTAAATCGAAATTTTGAAAAATTGTGCGCGTATGTGTGTAAAGTAACAGTAGTTCCCTGTACGTGCAATGTGTTTTTATTTTATTTTTCCGATTTTATTTTCTTACTTCGTTCTGGAGAAGCGAGAAAATGAGATTTTACGATAGAAATCGAAAGTCGCAAGAGAGCGCGTCAAAGAGTTGACGCCTGGTTCTAACGCATATGCCACAGCATCAGCGAGACGATCTCTTTCTCTAACGCGAGGAACTCGAGTGAAATGGACTGAGGAGAGAAATGAAACGCAATCGTCCGCGGTATAATCTGCAAGAACGGGAAGAAAATTGGCACACTGTGCGTGCTTTCTCTCCGCTTCGCGTTCCCGTATCTTAGCTATTTCTTTTTCTTTTTCTATTTCAAACGGTTCCCGTAACGGTGATATGCGTTACATTGTCATTTTTTTCTCTCTTTCTCTCGTCCTCTGTATATTTCATTTCCGCATATTTGGCAATAAGCATAACCGCGCGAATATATCAAAAAATTAAGAGACGAAACAAAACGGTTTTGATTCCGAGATTGTTGTTGACCAACATCCGTGTTGGATGTTGCACGATTTCAACATCTCGGAATCAAAAAGCACATGTTTCGTCTATTAATTAAGATATTATATTTAATTAAGATAGATACGTATATCTTGCGCAAAACAATATAATAAATCTAATATAATATTTTTGAATTCAATTTCATTCAAAAAAAAAAATTTAATTCGAATTAGTATTAATCTACACGTTTGAGTAAATAAATATTATCTTGTCTCCATCGTTTCGAGCGCAATTTCTTTAACAATTGCGAGAAAGTGACTTTGTTCAGCTCGCTCTTGTATCAATCGACACGAATTTTTCTTCAGGTCACAAATGGCGCGCCCATCGCAAACTGATCGCCCCGACGTTCCATCTGAACGTGCTGAAGACCTTCATCGATCTCTTCAACGCGAACTCACGCGCCGTGGTGGAGCGAATGAGGAAAGAGGGTGACAACGAATTCGACTGCCACGACTACATGTCCGAGTGCACGGTCGAGATTCTTCTCGAGACGGCCATGGGTGTCTCCAAGTCCACCCAGGATCGAAGCGGCTACGAATACGCCATGGCTGTCATGAAGCAAGTATTTCAGAAAAAATAAGCGCGAACTGGAAAGCAGGAAGGAAGAAACTATCGTTGAGAAAATCGTCTTTGAAACGGTCCCTTTAATCGCAAAACTGTTTTTTTCTTTTTTTTCAGGATGTGCGACATCCTTCATCTACGCCACACCAAAGTCTGGCTCAGACCCGACTGGCTGTTCAATCTCACCAAGTACGGAAAGGATCAGATTCGTCTGCTGAACATCATCCACGGACTCACGAAGAAAGTCATCGCGCGAAAGAAGAACGATTACAAGAGCGGCAAGCGCAACGTCATTGACGTCTCCAAACACGCCACGACCGTCAAGGTGATTAATTAAAGCCGAAAATAATTTTTTTCTGTAAAACTGTATAAATGACGCAAGATACTATCTCAGAACACGTCCGTGGAAGGACTTTCGTTTGGACAAGCGGCCGGTTTGAAAGACGATCTCGATGTGGACGATAACGACGTCGGTGAGAAGAAGAGACAGGCTTTCCTCGATTTGCTGATGGAAGCCAATCAGAACGACAAGATTCTCACGGACGAAGAGATCAAAGAACAAGTCGACACCATCATGTTTGAGGTGAGTGCGTGAAGTATTTTGTCACACACACTGCGAAACCATATATCGATCATCGATATGACGAGCTTTACTGTCCTCGCAGGGACACGACACAACCGCGGCCGCGTCCAGCTTCTTCCTGTGTGTGATGGGATGCAGACCGGACATTCAGGATAAGGTTATTCAAGAACTCGATGAAATTTTCGGCGACAGCGACAGACCCGCGACTTTCCAGGACACCCTCGAGATGAAATACCTCGAGCGCTGCATCATGGAGACTCTTCGAATGTATCCGCCAGTACCGATTATCGCGCGCAAAATCAACAGCGATCTGAAACTTGGTTAGTAATTCCTCAGAATCTTAGCTCACAGACTTGATTGCTAAATTTTTTATTATTTTTTAATATATCGATTTTTCAAAACGACGCTGCGCGTTTTGTAAAAATTATCTTTACGTGACGGTTCAATGTTGCGGTGTTGGATTTTAGCATCGGGAAGTTACACGCTTCCGGCCGGAGCCACCGTCGTGGTGGCGACGTTCAAGCTGCACCGACAGCCGTATATTTATCCGAACCCGGAAGTCTTCAATCCCGACAACTTCCTGCCCGAGAAAACCTCCAATCGTCATTACTACGCCTTCATACCGTTCTCCGCCGGACCGCGTTCCTGCGTCGGTCGCAAGTACGCGATGCTCAAACTGAAGATCATCCTGTCCACGGTCATGAGGAACTTCCGCATCAAGTCGGACATCAAGCAGTCCGACTTCAGACTCCAGGCCGATATAATTCTCAAACGGGCCGACGGTTTCAAAATCAGAATAGAACCGAGAAAAAAGGCCGCCACCTCCGCCGTTTAAACGAGGGCGATTACGTACAAAAAAAAGTTTGCCGAGAAGCAGCAAATTTTTTCTTCTCCTGTAGTTTCACGTCGAAAAATTCTAACAAGTGCTATCCGCGTTTTTTTTTCTCTGTCGTACAGAGATACGCAAACATAAGGTTTGATGGATTTTTGGATTTTTTTTTTTTTTTTTTTTT